AAATTACAGCAGTCAGCACTGAAAGATAAAGAGTATATACAAAAAATGGAGAAGGAAATAGATTTATTTTTAAAAAAGAATAAAAGTGGAGAAACATCTTTGGAAAATGTATGGGATACTACCAAGGCATATTTTAGATTAGCAATCTCCTATAGAGGAAGGAAAAATAAAGAAAAAAAGAAAAGATGAGAGGGATTAGAAGAAGAATATAAAATACTTGAATTGGAATTATGAGAGACTTTCAAAACTAAATGGTAAAAACCAAATGGAATTAGTAAAACATGAATTAAATATTCTAGAGAAAGAAGAATTGGCACAAAAAACTACAGTAGCCAAACAGAACTTTTTTGAAAATGCAAACAAACTGGGGAGATGGTTGGCATTCAGACTCAAAAAAGAAAAAGAAAAGAAATTGATATAAAAGCTGCAAGATGTGTGCAATTCGACACAAAAATGAAGATAAGAAAAAAATAATAAAAGAATTTTATGAAAGACCATACAGTAAAGAAAATATACTAGAAGATAAAATTAAACAATATATGGAAGAAGTCAACCTACCAAAGTGTCAGAAGAAGCGAAGATAATATTGAATGAAAGAATAACAATGATGGAATTAACAGAAGCAATTAGGAGGCAAAAACAAAAACAAAACAAGACACCAGTACCAGATGGCCTGCAAGCAGAATTTTATAAATACTTATTATTACAAGATACCTTAGGTCCATTTATGCTTGAAGTCTACAATGAAGCATTATTTGAAGCTAAGATTCCTGAAACATGGATGAAGCAATTATAACATTGATACCTAAAGAAGACTTTGATTTACTACAAATAAAAAACTATAGACCAATATCATTGTTAAATTAGACTGTAAAATTTATGCCTCAATAATCACAGAAAGACTGAAAAGATTTTTGAATGACATTATACATGTAGATCAGAATGGATTTTTATCTAAGAGACAAAAATAATATGCAGATGGTTTAGAATACATTGGAATATTATGAGACACATTCTGGAAAGCCATCTGCTTTCCAGAATAGATTTTTCTTGATGCACAGAAAGCTTTTGACAATTTGAGTTGGCAGTTTATGTTTTTACAATTAAAATATATGGATTTTGGAGAGAAGTTTATTAATATTATTAAGACCTTATACCATAAACAAACAGCAAAGGTGATTATAAAAGTGACATGCCTGAGAACTTCAATATAATAAAAGGCACAAGGCAAGGTTGTCCTTTACCCCTTTGTTATTTATATTAACTTTAGAGGTGTTAGCTAGAAATATTAGACAAGATAGTGAAATAAAAGGCATGAGAATAAAGAAGGAGAAGCTTAAGTTACAGTCCTTTACTTAGCTCTCACTTCACAATCAGGAAGCTGTGAGTTTAATCCTAGGTAGAGGCTAATATTTGGAATAGACTCTCTTGCTCGAGCACGGAGTTGGACTACCTGACCTCCAAGGTCCCTTTCAACTCTGTTGTTCTATGATTTGGTGTTCATTTTAGAAGATTCACAGGACCTAAATTAATTGCAAAGATAGAAGAATATGGTGCAGTTGCAGGATTGAAAATAAAAAGAAAACGAAAATATTGGTTAAAATTTTTACAGATAAACAAAAGAGAATTTACAAGAATGATGAATTGCAGATTGTAAAGAAAGTTAAATATTTAGGAGTTCAATTAACAGCAAGATGCGTATCTCTCAAAGAAGATAACTATGACAAACTGAAAGCACAAATTAAAATGGACTTGGAAAACTGAAAAAATTTACAACTGTCCCTATTGGGTAGAATAGCTTCAGTTAAGATGAATATCCCTCCAAGATTATTGTACCTGTTTCAGATAGTCCCAATAAAGCTGGGGGGGAATATTTTGAAGAATTAAATAAGACGATATTAAAATTTATATGGCAAGGTAAAAAAGCAAGAATAAAATTAAAAATGTTACAAGATATTAAAACTAGAGGAGGTTTTGGTCTCGTGGACTGGGAGCTATACTACCAAGCATCAGTACTTGCATGGGTGAAAGAGTGGGTTAATTTGAGGAATACCATATTACTAACATTGGAGGGCTATTATCTGCAATTGGGATGGAATGTGTGATAACCCGGGTCATGGCACAAAGGCAACACAGTCAGATAATTAATAAGAGTCCCTTTATTACGTCCAACTTTGCCCCAAAAATCCAGGTTACCTTCTGGCTGGAGAAAAACTCTTCTAGGAACAGCCTTTGACTGCAGAAAATTAAGTCCAAAACATGGTCAACAGAAACAGTAACTTTAAGTCCAATCAAGCCAAACTGAAGTAATTAGTTTGGCAGGTCAGCAGCAAGAATTTCAAACTTGAGGGCACAGCAAAACTCACATGGTTGGGAAGATGCCAGGAACACATATAAGCAATGACAACACAAGGTAAAGTCATGTTTGCTCCCAGAAGCCTGTCTCATGTAATCTGCCTTTCTTATAAACTGTATTCCCAGCTTTTGCTAATGAAGGGAATCAGGGCCCTTTCCTCTCCCATAAGCCAAGCAACCCATGTTGCTTTCTTCTATGTTCCTCCCTGTGTATCCTATGATGAAGAGCGGGTGGGCCTGGGTCTAATCCCCTCTCCCTTGTTCTACCTCTTCCCTGCTCTGCCCAGCTGGACTTTGCCCTTCTCCAGTTTCCTCCACAGCCAACGGAGCCACATGCCCACTCCCTGTCAGCTGTTCAGCTTCCTCTTCGGATTCAGACTCTGACAGGGACTCGACAGAAAGGTGAGATACATAGCTATTTCCAGAGGCATTACATTAGGAATGCATTACTGCTAGTATGGACCAAAATCAAACAGCAACGTTAATTGAAAATACCAGTCTGGTTATCTACAATGGATGCATCTAAATGTTATGAATATGGAAAAAAATCATAAGATACAAAGACATATTAAATGAAAGTAGAGAACTAAAAACTAAACAAGAACTAAATAGATAGGGATTCTAGACATTCTAGACATTTTAACAGTAGCCAGGTTTGTATACGCACAATATTGAAAAAATGAAGAAACCCCCACAGATGAGAATATAATAAAAAAAAAAAATAGTGGAATGTGCAGAAATGGATAGGTTAACACTAAAAATCGAAGAAAAAGAAGACACTGAATATTTTATGGCATGGGATTTTTTTTAATGGCTAGTTGATAGATATAGAGGTTAGATGGGTGGATTTATATGAAAATATGGACCATATGAGAAAGATAAACTGATTAGTAAATATTTTGATGGTTATATAATTGATGTCAACATGGAAGATAGTATATTATGTACTATTTGTTTGTAGATATGAATACAATGATTATGATGATGTTTATATTTTAACATTTTTGACACCGGAAGAATGAAAAAAGCAAGCAGCCATGGGACATCCACCGCCCACCCAGTTAGAGTACCTCTATCACTGCTTGTTTCTTCTGAGGGATGAAAGTGAGTGGCCGCAGCAGTAGCAGCAGCAATGGTGGTGCTGCTGTGGGAGGCAGCCTCGAGAGTCCCTGCCCTCCCAGTCAGAGCACTTCTACCACCGCTCGCTTTTCCTGAGGGATGAAAGGAAGCGGGCAGCGGTGGTGCTGCTGCTGTAGGAGGCAGTCCCAGGAATCCCTGCCCTCCCAATAGGAACACCTCCGCCACCACTCGCTTCTCCCAGGGGACAAAAGGAAGTGAGTAGCAAGCAAGGTGAGTGAGCATTGGGCAGGCGGGGCAAGCAAGTGAGCAGTGACTGGGCAACCAGAAGTCACTACCAGTTCAGCGACCCACACCAAATCATCGCTACCAGTTCGCCTGAACCAGTGCAAACCAGCTGAATACCACCCCTGGTTCTATAATATGGACAATTAACATCAAAAATGTCATCAAAAACACAACAAAGAATGTTCTTTCTGCACTAACTCAGAAAGCTCAAACTGCTGATAAAGTTCTACAGAGGAATTATTGAGTCTATCATCTGCACTTCTATAATCCCTATATACCAATGACTCAACTCAAATGATCCATCTGTTAAAAAAGTGAAGTTTGCAGATGATACAACAGTGATTGGTCTCATTTGAGACAATGATGAATTCACATACAGACGAGAGGTTGTACAACTTGCTCCACGTTGTGACCAGAACAGTCTAGAACTGAACACACTCAAAGCTGTAGAAATGATGGTAGACTTTAGGAGAAACCCTCCATACTAGACAACACAGTATCAACAGTAGATATCTTCAAATTTCTAGGTTATATCATATCTCAAGCCCTAAAATGGACACCTAGCATCAAAAACATCATCAAAAAAGCACAACAAAGAATGTTCTTTCTGTGCCAACTGAGAAAGCTCAAACTGCTCAAGGAGCTACTGATACAATTATACAGAGGAATTATTGAGTCTGTCATCTGCACTTCTATAACTGTCTGATTTGGTTCTTCAACTCAACAAGACAGACACAGACTTTAGAGAATAATTAGGACTGCAGAAAAAACAATTGCTATCAGCCTGCCTTCAATTGAGGACTTGTATCCTGCATGAGTCAAAAAGAAGGCTGTGACAATATTTACAGACCCCTCACATTCTGGACATAAATTGTTTCAACTCCTACCCTCAAAACGACACTATAGAGCACTGCACACCTGAATAACTAGATACAACAACAATTTTTTCCTGAATGCCATCACTCTGCTAAACAAATAATTCCCTCAACACTGTCCAACTATTTACAAAGTCTGCACTACTATTAACCTTCTCATCACTCCTTATCACCCATCCCCTCCCATTTGTGACTGTATGACTGTAACTTTCTTGCTTGTATTCTTACGATTTATATTTTCCTAGTGTGATTTGATTGCTTATTGTACCCTATGACTATTATTAAGTGTTGTACTTTATGATTCTTGACTCTTGACAAATGTATCTTTTCTTTTGTGTACACTGAGAACATTTGCACCAAGACAAATTCCTTGAGTGTCCAATCACACTGTTTCTTTTATTTTAGCAACAAGAACAAGACCCCACAAATCTTTATATCTCAAACTTGCCCATTTCCATGGATGAGCAAGAGTTGGAGAATATGCTTAAACCTTTCGGACATGTCATTTCCACCAGAATATTAAGAGATGCAACTGGTGTCAGTAGAGGAGTTGGATTTGCCAGGTAAATAGTTTTTTTTTTTTAATTAGCATGCTGGAATTTATTTCCTTTTCTCTTTAGATTTATTTATTTATTTGTGCATGGCAAGACTATATTTGCTGTTGCTGAAAGGATTTGCAGTCATACAACATGCAGAATAATTCAAGGAATTAAAGGAAATTTATCTGAATATATGGGTACATCTTTTCCAGAAAATTGAAAAATCACTGCTTGACAATAACTTTATTTATTCAAATAACAGTAAAATATCTTTGTGCAATTAAATAGCAATTTGGTTTCAACATGAAACTAAATTGAAATGAAATGTCATTCTTTCTGAAAATCTGTATATGATTATGCTAGATAATTTAATTTAAGATTGAAAAGCACTCTCCATGCCCCTCTGTCTCACACCACCTCCTTCAGATCCACCATGGTCACCCAGTGTTATCTTTTATAGCATCTAGCCAGTGGGTGCTAGATGGCCTCCTTTCCTTTTTCCACTAATCACTCCCAGGATGATTGATTTTTTTGAATGAGTCAGTTATCATGACATGACCAAAGTCTTTGTTTGGCAATCTTGGCTTCAAGTAATATTTTTGGTGAGGTTCATTCTAGGACTTCTTTGATATTTTTGCAGTCCATGTGGTGCTGGAAGTAATAGTTACTTCCAGCATCACAGTTCAGAGGCATCCACCCTTCTCCTATCTGCCTTTTTCAGAATCAGAGTTTCACAGCTGTTAGTAGCATTAACTAATCTGCATTTGGTTGTGAGGCTGATGTCTTTATTCTTCCAGATGTTATATGCCATCTAATCTCAGAGCTATAGTCACGATTTTAGTCAGTTTTTGAGGATTTCTTCTACATTTCCAGAGTATAAAAATTTCCAGGATATAAAAAAGTTAATTAGGGGTATATACGCATTTGTACCAGTGACAAGGTTCAGGTGATTGCCCTAATTAAATCATGAGCCAGACAACCAGTCTGAGTGGCAGTTGTAGCTTTTGTGTATTAGTTTCAAAAATATTTTGTTATATGCTGAAATTCCCAATACATTTTTTAAAGTAAACCCTGGGGAATACAGCAGGTTGATTCAAAATAAATAAGACTGAGATATATTACTAGTGATAAAGAACAGTAGTAATAAACATATATGAAATCAGCTTTGAATACTGTGGCACATTAGCTTCCTTTCTTTTTGTTGGTACTCTTTTCTTCAAAGTTGGAATTCAGAGATAATATCAAGATTCACAAGAAATCTATTTTAAAATTAATGAAGATGAGACAGTCTGATTTAAAAACAATTATCTTTTACAAACATCTCTTTTGGTGAAAAGTGTGGTTCCAGGTTTTTACATTTCCATACAAACATTACCATAATTACATATCTATCTTACATATTCATTTTCTTATAATATCATTACATTTCCATTTTCTATAAATTTTCATAAGTATTATGTTTTTCACATTTATTTTATCCATTTTTAATTCATATCTTAACTTGTTCTGTTTTTCTAATTATACTCTTATCTTCTTTATATAATATCTCAAAATTCTTATTTCTTAATCTATTTTCATTATACTTTTATATCATATTTGCAATTCCATCACATATTCTTATTTCATTATTCAGTAAATTTCATCTTGATTTTAATAATTCCAAAGATTTCCCCCTTAATTACCTGTTTGAGTGCACCACACTTTTATCTTATGCATCATTTAATTTACTCCCCTTTAACTCATATTACAAAATTACCATACTATGATCATTTTTAGTTATCACCTAGGTACTACACAGCGGCATTGCTTTAAACACCATGGCAGCAAGGGAGAAGGGAAAGCAACGGTGACGGAAGGTGTCCCGATACGAAGTGCCCCATGTTGCCGCCTGCCCACCCGAGGATGCAAGAGGGGGGAATTAAGTCACCCCTGAAAAGACAGCCTAGCTGTTTTTTCGGTGGTCAAAAAAAAATAAGGCCCGGCCTTATTTTGTGAGAAACACGGTAGCTCTCCTTCTTCAGGGTGACCATACTTTGCCACCATTGCAGCTCGTCTTCAGGGAAGTTTGCCTAGCCGAGGAGGGGAGACGCAGCTCCCCTCAATCTGAAAAGCAGGCTCCCCCTTCTTCCCCACCCCTCCAAGATGGTTCTAGCCCCATTTGTAGCCCTCTAACACAGGGGTCACCAACCTTTTGGACCTCAGGGACCACCAAACTCATAATTTTAGATCCCAGGGACCACTAACTGGTTCTGTGGGTGTGGCCTAATTTGTGGGTGTGGCTTGATGGTCATGTGATTGGCTGGGCATGGCTTGTATGTAAATATTATAAATATTTATATAAATATTGAATTTTTTATAAAAAAGAGCAACTTTTACCCAAAATCAGGCAAAGCAGGCAGGCAGATTGAGTTGCTCACCCACAACATTCAGTGATCTATCTATTTGCCATCGGCTAGCTCAGTCTCTCAAATTTGGTTGCCGTGAGTCTGTACAGAATTTGCTTGCAAGCAAAACTTCAGTCCTCAGGGAGATTCAGCTGTACTTAAAAGCAGAGCCGAAGATCTAAAGACTAGCTAGAAAGTAAGAAATCCAATCATTTTCTGCTTCCTAACTAATCTAAATCTCCTGTCACAGAGAACAGATGATGGCTGGAAAAAGGAAAAACAGAAATTTAGCAGGCAAGTTTAAGGAGTAAGGGTAAGGAGTGAGTGGGCGGGAAAGGTTCCTGCGGGCCATGTGGGCAGTGCAGCCTTGTGTTTCTGCACAGCCTGGATTAATTGCTTTGGGGGTGAGATTTCTCTGCAGCCCACCAAAATTTTCTCATGGCCCACCAGTGGGCCACGGCCCATCTGTTGGCGATCGCAGATCTAACAGGAACAACATGGAATGAAGCTGTGCACGATCGCAGTCTTCGGTCCATCCTCAAAGAAAACGCTATCAGAAGTCCTTTATTTTTAATTTTTGATTCAGATAAATTTGGATTTAATTTCATGATTTTTATTACTATCTTAAGATTCAAGATGAATTCTGGAAAGAAGAAATAAGAATCAATTGAAAATCAACATAAAAGCCCTTTCAGTCAGACATGTTTTGAATGAATTCTGCCTTTACTTTTATTACAAAATAAAAATCATTCTGATTTAAAAAAAAACACATGGGAAGAAATATTTGATGTGGAGGCAAAATGTTGATGGCTGTTTCATTCATCCCTGTATGGAGCAGAATATTTACTTCATTGTGGGTAATGTGAGCTTCCCTTGTGCTAATAAGGTGGTATGTTAATAGGCAATGCAACTTGATATAAAAAGAAACACTACTTGCAAGAAATTGTTGAAATAACATTGTCTGCATTCAAATGGCAAACAGAATGAAAGATGAAGTGGTCTCACTTTTATACAATTCTCTAAGTTGCCTTACTAAAAATTTGCTAGCAGGAGAGCTGGACCTGGAACATTAACTTGCATTTGGAAGTTAGGTTTTTCAACTGGAATCCATTTTACAGAATCTGGAGAAGAGAGTAGATGACACATTACACTTTTTAGAGAGAGTTTTTGATTTGTCAATCACTTACAAGATAATGGATATGAGTATAAACATGAGTAAGAATACAGGAAATAGGTAGGAATAAATGGGGACAATAGGACAGGGATGGTAGGCACAATTGTACACTTATGCATGCTCCTTACAGACTCTTAGGAATGGGATGAGGTCAATAGTAAATAGTTTAAGGTTAAAGGAGTGGGGGTTAGAGGATGTAACAACAGAGTCAGGTAGTGCTTTCCAGGCATTGACCACTCTGTTGCTGAAGTCGTACTTTCTGCAATCAAGTTTGGGGTGGTTTACATTGAGTTTGTATCTGTTTCGTGCTCTTGTATTGAGCTGAAGTAGTCATTAACTGGTAGGGCATCGCAGCAGATAATTTTGTGTATTACACTTAAGTCTAACCGTAGGCGGCATAGTTCAAGGTTGTCCAAGCCCAAAATTTCAAGCCTGGTGATATAGGATATTCTGTTGCAAGCAGAGGAATTTAGTACTCTTCTCATGAAATACTTCTGGACTTGCTCTACCTTGCTCAATTGTATTAATGTCCAATACAGAGTGCAGAATCCAGACATATGAGCTGTATTCAAATATTGGCCTAACAAAGGTTTTGTATGCCCTAGTTAGCAATTCAATATTACCAGAGGAGATTAGATTTACAACTCTTAATGTCTTTTTGGCAATGCTGTTACAGTGAGCTCTGGTGCTTAGGTCGTTTGATATGAGTACTCCAAGATCTTTGACAGAATGAGGGTCGTCAACGAGGTCATATCTGCCTAGCTTGTATTTGGTGTACTGATTTTTTTTTGCCAATGTGTAGGACAGAGCATTTGTTGGTCAAGATTTGGAGTTGCCATTTTTTTGACCAGACAGATAATCAATGTCGCTTTGAAGGACAGTAGCATTGTTGGTGGTGTTGAATAGTTTTATGTCATCCACAAAGAGGACACAGTTGCTTATAAGGTGATTGCAAAGTAATTTATGTAGAATATAAAGAGGGTGGGTCCTAGAATGCTGCCTTGGGGGACACTGCTGTTAACTGGATCAAGGGTGTGATATAGCACTCCCTATTTTTCCTATTTGTTGCCTGTTTGATAGGAACACAGTAATCTACTTATGAAGGGATCCGGAAATGCTGTAAGAGTTTAGTTTTAACAGTAGTTTGTCATGTACCACTGAATCAAAGGCTTTGCAGAAATCTATGTAAGTTATGTCTATTGCTTTACCCTGGTCAAGTAGAGTAGTTCATATATTTTTTTAAAAAAAATTTATTTGGGTTTTCACAAAAACATAATACAAATAAAACATTTCTTTTTTTGAGAATAGCATGATCCCGGGTTATCACTTCTTCATACAGACACAAACTCAATTTCATATTCATTTTTGTGTTCTATTCCATATCTTATTACTCTTTTAATATTTTCTCCATAATTTTCCCCCTCCCTTGGTTTTCTCAACTTTATTTTTAATTATCTCATATCTAA